TCCTTCACATCTATCCAGTGCTCGGCCGCCGTCGCTGCGATGATGGCCTCGAGCGTCTTCACCCCTACGGCGTTCTCGGTGGCACCGGTGTCCAGGATATAGCCCGGACTGTCGGCCCTTTCACAGACCAAGGCCGTCTCCAAACTCATCACCAGGAGCTCCTCCGAGGCGATCTCGTCCCCGACGGTGTTCTCATCCTCGGGCTTTAGCATCGTCTCGATCAGGTAGGCCCCGTGGTAGTAGCTTGGTTGCCCCTTCCCTTTGGGAGATCCCTTCTGAAAACGGCCGGGGCAGTCTCGATAGAAGTGCGACTGGCTGCCGCAGAGAAGGCAGCCTGTTCCCTTTCCAAAGGGCTTCCCCTTCTTCCCGCTGCTGCCCGGTCCTTTCTTGGACTTGCTCTTGCCATGGGCTCCTTTCTTGCCGGCTGCACCGCCCTTTTTCCCGCCTAAGGGGAAGTAGCCACGAGCTTCTCGAACTCGGGCTACGGCAGCCCTTGCCTCCGTGAGGGTCCTGTTCGCCTCCGCAGCCAGAGCTTGAGCTTCTTGTTCTTGGGCGACCAGGGCAGTCTCGTCCTCGCCGCCGTCTTCGCCGTTCTCCTCGTCGGCCTGGGCCACGCCATCGTCCTCAAACTCCTCCTCGGGCCAGCCGTGCCAGGACCATTCCGACGATCCCCAGTACAAGGACGGGTCTTCATCCCAGCTCCAGGCATACCAGTTCCAGGCCTCGTCCTCGTACGCCTCGGCCGTCCAGGCGTCATCTTCTTCGGCACTCCACCAAATCTTTCGCCTGGCCTGTCTTGCTGTCGGGTCGGCCTCGTCGAAGAGGGCTCGAAGAGCCTGGCGCACCTTCTCGAAGGCGACGGAGTTCCCCGTAAGTGTGAGCACCTGCTGCCGCTCACTATAGGAAATCCCACTTGCCTTCAGGAGCCTGAAGCCGCGAAGCTCGTCCTCGAAGAAGTCCATCGGCCGGGACGCCGCCAGCCCAAAGCCCGGCGAGGCATCTGGCGATCCAGCCGCGGGAGCCGAACTCGGAGAGGCAACGGCCGCCTCGACAACAGCTCCTTCTCTCGGGTCCGCTGTCGTGGGAGAGCTCGGTGCCGGAGGAGCAGCCGTCGGAGAAGGGCCCATCAAGGGTGTAGGCCGCACAGTCGTGTTCGCCCTGGACCTTTTAAGGCTCTGCTGCAACTCCAGAAAGAGCTCATCCTCTCTCACAAGCAGCTCCGGGATGCTCTCGGCCTCTTTGCGTCGAAGCTGATGCCACTTTTCCAGCTTGGCGAAGGAGTCCGGTATAGGGAGCGTCTGGAGAGGCGAGCTCCTAAGGACTTCAAGGAGCTTGCTCAA